CATCGGTGACGGAGGATCTCTGAACCCCTCACAACGAAGGGGTTGACACTGGCGTCTGCAGTTGGCTTCCCCCTATGCTCGTGTTCCACAGATACACTACTAACAACTGGAACCATGGGGATAGGTATTGTGTCGGGATTTCTCCTAGAAACCCGTATATAGGTGTTGGAAATGACACTACCGTCCTCCTTCTATACGGGACAGTGGCTTATCCTGTTTTCCTTGTAACACATCTGTTGTAGACCGGAGTTCTACCATCTAGTCCTCGAAGCAATTGATGGTCAGCAGATGTGTGCGGTCCCGAACTTGGTTGTCAGACTGGACGTAACTCCAGACCCATTTGGAGCTGTTGAGGAGACCAGGAACGGTTCCTCAGTCGCATGGGAGCTGGTGACTGGCGCGGTTGGCTCGTGGGTGCTTTCATGTGGTACCGAATATGTTGTGATTGCTGACGCAGGAGGTCTACCAAAAGAAGAGATGGGCAGTGTAATGGCGTTTGGTGGTCACTTTTGGGATTTGTCTGACCCTCGTACTAGTGGGCTGGCCTTCGAGCCAAGCTCAGTCCTATTTACTCTTTTCTCCTTGGAATACATGTGCCCAGTCTCACTTACTGCCTTCTTCCACCCTATGGTAAGTCTCGGAACGCTACATCCACCTCTGGGAGAGAAGTTAACCTTGGACACCCTTAAACGGTACTGTCTGTGCTCGTTCATTCATCGCTAAGGCGTATTACCAGCCAAATCATTTCAATAGTGTGAAGACATGGAGTGAAAAAACGCAAAACCCACTAAATACCAGGATGTGATGCAAGAAGCACATGCCAACATTTAAAACTGTAGTGTGAAAAGACCGCCACGAGTTGCGTTGAAAAAGATTGCCTACTATCGCTTTATTACAATAAACTGGGAAATTGAAAGCAAAACAGCAAAGTGGACTGATGTGCAGGAGTAGAATTTATGCAGCACCTTTGATTGGATTTAAATCGCTTAATTTGTTCGCAGCTCTCAAAAAGAAATGTCTTAAAGGAGCCATAACTATACAAAATGCCCTAAAATGAGCATTCTCGATTTCTCATTTACTTGCTTTTATTCGGACTTCTAGTCGTAGGAGCAAAGGAGGAAGTAATCTAGATACAAAAAAAGCAGTTTAACGATAAAAAAGTATTCATACTGGAAACAGTAACGAGCTGATTTCATTATTGAATGCTTGGTGGATTAATCAAAATACATGTATGAATGCAAACAAACCCACAGGCAGTTCTTACTCCTTCGATAATTCAAGTTTTGTGACTTCCACTTTTGTTGAAATTTCCTCCGTTGTCCTCATAACCGCACCAAGTTATATTATGAAAACCCAACTGTTGACCTCCTTTTAGTTTAGACCAGCACACTTACCTAAAATCCCAACATCAACCTAACTTTTCTGAGTCACTACAAGCAAGTAAGCCGCAAGACCGTAATCATCGTCAAATTGTGCGGCGCTTACAAACCGAACTTATCCACCACGACACGCTGACAAATCTTTAGGCAATTGTGGTTTTTGATACTACAGGTCATTAGCCGCTTCTAAACTGACGCTTGGGTGGATCCATGGAGGTGGAACCATAATTCAAGCATGAGATCGTATCACATGACTCCATTTAAAGTAAAAATGGAATACGGGGGACAAGGAGGATATGAAAAGTGTTATAGTACACCTGAGAAAGGAAAATCATGCGTTGTTTTACCTTAAGGAATTAAAAGTTCATGAGATAAACTTATCATCGATAAAATTGGGAAACAAAGGGATGCTATACACTTACCGATGGGAGAACATTAAACTGAATTATGCATGAAACTAGAGCTCAGAAAACAGCTATCGGCAAAGTGAGTATCATGCTTCCTAACAGATGATTGTCGTTACAGAGTGTCTTCGCTGTATCCCTTTGCTAAACATAGAGGAAAGCCATTGATGCAGATCAACCTTGTTGTAAGGCTTTGTTTATGCGACCACCTGAGGTTTGGCGGTCGCTTTAAGATTTGTCCATCTCTTCTACATGTGGGCTGGCCTTGGGGTCATGCTCAGGCCTATTTGCTTTGTTCTCTTTGGGATACATATATCCAGCTCCACTTACTACCTTCTTTCACCCGGTGGGGAGTCTAGGGAGGCTACACTTGTTAATGTCCGATTTGAATAAATCCCACTTGTATGAATTCATAAAGCACGAAACTACGGTTGCTGAATTTAAACTACTTCGAATTAAACGCAACTAACAAGCGTAAAACGAAAATTTTCTCAAGACAATCCAACTATGCAAGCAGGCACAGATATTATGGTGGTTGTTATCTCTCTGCTGTGCTGAATTGTATTTGCAGTTGTGGAGTTGGACGCCTTACTCTCAAGTTCGCACACATCTGCCTTCATAAGAAAAGGCTCGCAATCGGAAGTTTTGTTGAGAATTTGGTACAGTTTACAGTAAAGACTAAAGGTACTACCGCAGAAAGCCCTTACGTTAGTCCGAGGAAGGCTTGACACTAGGTGCTCTTCAACTCAGGCTGAAATATATATGGGTGTTTAAATGGTGATTTGTATGGAGGTGGCGGAGATTTTATTCGAACTCGATGCTCGGGGACCCAGCGGAGGAAACCTAATATCCTTCCACACCTCTGGCTGATTGTAATCCACAGATGCCGAATAAAATTCTCCAGCTAAGATCCCTCTAAAATCCCATGAAAGGATGTAGCGCATTGAGGCTTCTCACCGGGTAGATGAAGACAGTAAGTGGAGATGTAAACATGTTTTTAAGGAAAACAAATAACTTAATTCTAAGCTTGGTCCTAAGGCTAGCTCAAGTATACTACTGTCTGAAGAATCTTAAAGTAACGACCAGATATCGGGCGGTCACATAGTGAAAGTATTACAAGGAAATGACCGCCTCTTTACTGCTAGACCAGTTCAAGAATCTGTAAGACCTTCAGTACACTATGGCACAACTGTTTTTGTAGGGACTGCCCGTCTAGCTTCATGCTCTTGAACCACGGACTTCAAGAGAGGAATAGGTGCAGTAGATGTATTAGGCACTGATTAGAGGAAGAACGGGGATAGGAGCACAGATGAACCAAATAACAGATATCACCCGAAGAGGGATTCATCACGGCTCTCAAGCACGTAATTCACGTTCCGATTCTGGTTTTCGCCTCTCTCCTAAGAAAGTAAACTCGAACACAAATATATATCACACAATGTTGCGGCACGGATTATATCAAAAACTTTAACTTAAGATAGACAATTGCGGGTTGTTTATTCCATTTATGCATTTTGTGTATATAAAAATATTAGTCAAAGCCAAAAAGTTTAAGAATAAACTTTAATTCTGCATAATATGCGCCAACAGCAAAATACTACGATTCAGGATAGCACTCAAGTTGGGACTTACGCAAGACACATTAAATGATTGGATTGAAATTCCGAACTAATATATTCTATACCAGCCGATATAAAAATTGGTATCAGGATTGCGCATTACTAAATACTTGTTTTATTGCTTTCACTAAAGCGCGCTTCTTTGGACTCGTCTGCCCATATGGTCGTGCCTGTCCGTGCGGATAGTGAGTGGTAGCGACTCTGCCTTATTTTTTGCATGATAGTGCACTCATGCACGCCCTTAGGTTGCTTTAACCTTAAATTCAGTCCTTCTTTGATCGCGATTCGGTAACTATTTTGGCTGAACTGTGTCGAGTCTAACATTATGTTGACTTCCTCGCAGTCAGTTGTTTTGGGTGTTATTTTGCATATTTTTTTCGAATCCATTGGTTCCCTTTTCTCTAGGTATCACAGTAGGTTTTCAATGACTAAAACCTGCGCAATTCGTGGTAAACCTAAGTCAGGTCGAGTCTGGAAGTCAGTCCGAAAACACCGGTTGGTTGGCGTAATATTTTTTGCGGTTTGTATGATCGCGCATTGGTCGTGGTCGAGAACATTAATTTGAAAATAGTGTTTTGCTGTGAGGAATCTTGCTATAGTATGTCGATGTTTAACATACCTAACATACATTAGGGGTTATCCTCTATTATGACGGCCATTTGTTTGACCAACAGGTACTCGGCAATACGTAGGGATAGAGGCCTAAGAACAACGTGGGAAAAAAAAATGCTTCTCAAGGAGGAACGAAAACGGCGTTGCTTAGATGAGGCGAACCGTCGAGAGGCACGTGCATCTGCTAAGAGGGCCCGGCGACTAGCCACCGAAGAGCGGAAGCGTAGACGTCTAGAAAATGAGCGACGAGCTGAAACAGTTGTTCCTGTAAGCACACCCATGTGCATTAAGACATACGACTGAGGTTGACGGAATCAATAGAGGAAAGTCTTGAGATTCACTAGCGGTATTAACCGATAATATTTAAGACATGAAATTAGTCGATTCATGTGATATGGCTCCCTATTTATTTTAAAAATTAATCGGTTCATTGAATTCTCAAGAAGTTCATTCTTTTTTTTCAGATTAAAAATACAATGAAGCTGAAGAAACTAAAGAAGAGTCAGCTTCGTACAATCGAGAAACGCTAAGGAAGGAATGGAAACTCCACTCATATCTTCAATAAATTATTCAGCTTTCTTATTTACTATACCTTTGTTTCTTGCTTTTTTGGTTGCATTCGAATCTATAACGACGCTGATGCTTTACTGGTGTGGGTTTTTTTTTGTATGGTAGCCCTTTTGAAAAATAATCGTCTCACATATGATTTTGGTTATCACAGAAGGTGCGCGCTTTGGTGCTCATTGCTTTAGTCGTGTCTACTTTTTCGTCCCCATTTCAAAGTGCTATGCATGAAACTACGGCGTCCACTCGTCTGTCTCCAATTGTTAGTTCGTATGGGATTGCGTCTGTCGCGACGTTGAAGTCCAGTTGTAGCGTTAGAGTAGTGGTCTGCTGCTGTTGATTCGTGGACAGTTTGTAGGATTGTCTCTGGCGGCAATGGCGTTGAGGTCGGATCGGCATTTTCGTGTGAGTGCTCTGTGTCTTCATCTTCCCTATTCTGGAGGGGCTCCAAGATGCTCACTCCCGTACTGTCGCATGTCAACCTTAGGCCTTGATGCTTGCGCACTTTCCAGAAGCGCTGAAATAGTTCGACGATCTGTTTCTGATTTTGATCGCTCAGATTACCTGCAAGGGGTGGTGCATGTTTCACTATTTTTCATTGCCTCCACCATTAGAATGCTTTCATTTGAGCGCAGTCATAAAGAGTGCTCTTTAGTGTTTAGTTTTGAAATTCCGGCTTTTTGTTTATGTCACTTTTTGCAATGCAATTTCACCTATCAATTAAAAGTAATCATTAGCTTATAAAAATGTAGGTATCAGTCGGATACAGTCTGCTTTCCTGGGTTTATATTTGGGTCGTTTTAACAAAGGATAAAGCAACTTTTCACTTTTGATGATCAACACAAATTTAGGCTCTTGTTTGTCTGGCGACTCACATTTTTCTAATTCCTGAGTTAGGTACCGTAATACAATATATGCTTCAGCTGTGCACTCGAGGCATCGCAAGTCAGTAGCCATCTTTACGGTGTAGTCTGGCTCAAAGTAGGTCTTATCGCCAAGCTCTTGGAGAATTCTCTCTAGGTTCCATTCTCCACTGAACTGAGGAAATCGCTTGTTGACGTCTGAAGAATTAAAACGCATCAGCATTTGGGTGAAGGAAATAAGTCATTAGGCACATTTAGTTGACTGCGGACAGAGCCAAACGTGTGTGTAAGGGATCATGGTGCAGCACGCCATTAAAATGCCCCTATTTTTTTCTGCATTTATCTCGTGGCTATCCGCCAGGACTTGAAAATCACCATAATGTGAATGATCGCCTCATGAAGCGCCAATAGGCATAGAACGAATTGGAAGTACAGGACGAACAGGGAAAATTTCCAAAAAAAGGTCTGACAGTTAAGAGTTTTGCGTTGTGTGCACCAATTGATCATCATAGTGATTGAGAATTTATCAATACAACGAGGATGTAGGCTGTTGTATGATTTCAAATGACGTTATAAGAGGGAACATTTATGGTTGCATGTTTGAAGTAGGAAGAAGTAACTTACTGGCAAATAGGTCGTCACCAAACATCATGAAGGCGCCTGCTTCGAATTGCAGGTGATCATCGTGAACACTGACCTGGAGTGTGCCTTGAAGAACGAAGATAGCTACGGCGCTAGGCACATGTGATTGGTAGATGGTGTTACTTTCGGAAACTAAATGACTGCAATTGTAAATTCGAATAAGGTTCTCTTGTTTAACGCTAACTTTTGGTTTAAAATGTTAGAGTCATTGTTTCCAACTCCTAGTAATGTACCATTCAGGAAATTCTTTAAAGTAATCAATCCATTAGTAAAGTATTATTATTAATGGGTATCTTAATTCTTCAGAAGCATGGAATTGACAACGAATTCATGAAGATGCCTTGGCAACTAATCGTACGATGCAGAACAAACATTTTCCCTTACTTGTAATCGTGTTGTACGGCGAACGAAGTGTTTAAGAAACCTTGAAGGACAGTTGTGTGAACGTAATTGGGAGCAAAATATGTTGTATCTGAAACCAGAACGAAGGTATTCACAAAGTTATTGTGAGCAGAGGTACCTGATTTGCTAAGTTTGATATGGTGCAAACTTACAATTAATGCTTAATTAGGAAGCATCTAAAACAGAATACATAGTCGGAAAAGACGTACTCGCAACCAGGTAGCGTAGAGCAGCTATCTTAAGTTGTGGCGATATCTTGCCATCACTTTGATGGTTAAAAAAAGGCCACAGATCTGTCGTATGAAGGCGAGGATTTCGCCTCTTCCGCGATGCAGTATCGTCTGAATTTGAGAAAACGACACTAGCAAGAGGGTGAATGTGGTGGTGGCCACAACCCATGATAAGGTAGCGGGATTGACTCTGCTTCATAGCAAGATAGTTTGCCTCCATAATGGGTCCACTTTCAAGGGTTATAAAGCTTGTCAGTAGTGAAATTAATGAAGTTTCAACCTAAGTGCTTGACATTCACTTAATTTCGCAGCAATATGCTTACTGAACTTATTCCAAACTTCATTTTAAAAAAATTAGGTGGAGCTAAGTGAAGTGAAATATATCAGGTGCATCCTAACTTTGTCCCATAAAAATGCCTTTTCCCCGGCTTTAGACAGAGCTTTCTCGGTATCCCTTTACAAAACATTTGAAGTGTATAGTTCAGAAGGTGAATATGCATTTATGCGAATAACCCAACTTATAATGTCTGTTTCATCAAATATTTCCTCTTGAAGGATTTCCTCAATTACATCCTCCATCGTCACGATACCCACCACTGTGTGATGCTCGGATCCCTCTTCCTCGTAGACAACGGCGAAGTGAGTGGACTCTGTGGAGGAAGGAAAGATCAGAAATTAGACCGACTACTCATTAGTGTGGAAGCTGACCAGGAGTTGGTGGGAAGCATCGAGACATTAAAAAGTATTAGTAAGCTAACCTGTCTCTTGATTGGATGTGCCTAACAAAATTTTAAGTTTAGTTAAGAACATAGTTGACTAGCTTGGCCTTAATGTTTGTGATGCAAATTATGATATAAATGAATGAGTGGTACATGGTCTTAGATGCTTTGAAAGGGTACAGTCAGTAAAGTATGTAAAACTAACGACCTTTGCGAAACATATCAAATAGAGACTTTAAAGTCGTGCTTGCTCCAGCATATATGAATGGGCGGTTGTAAAAGTTGCAGATAGTCGACACCGAAAGTTTCTCCTTCGGATCCACAAAGGCAAGGTCTTTAACATTTAAGACTGAAGTAATGTTTCTTCTGTCGACCTTATAAATTGGTATTCTTGTAAATCCATGCGAGATTATGTCATTTGTTGTCTCAAAATCCAAGAGTGCATTGTAGGGAAGCATATATACATTATTGATAGGTGTCATGATGCTCTTTGCAGTTCGCTGATCCATACTTAAGGCACCTGTTATTATGTTCAATTCATCCTTGTGGACAAACCCCAAATGTTCCTGGAAGGTTATTACATTTAACAACAATTACGTGCTGTTTGATCAGTTCCGCCAATTTGGATTTATTCAAGGTTCTACCCATGTCCTCACCTAGTAGTTTATTCAGTATCAAACTGATTGGAAATCCAATGGGAAACGTAAGAAGCATTATTAGTTTCGTGAAGAATATTGTATGGTAGGAAATGATAAGACTAAATCGATTACAAGCAGCCTGAGGCAAGATTTCCCCAAAAAGTAAAATGCCAGCTGATGCAGAAAAGATGGCTAATGCTGTTCCTCCGATAAGTTTGTCAGATAGCATTGAAATGATTACATTAACGATTACATTTGCCAAAGTTAGACTGCAGATAATCAGATTTCCATGTCGACGGATTGGAAGCACTGCCGTTGCCATCTTCTTTTCATTTTCAGTCCCAGCTTCTATCAGTATTTCAAGAAACATTACATCAAGAGTCATTATTCCCAGATTAAGACCGCTGAATAAGGCTGAACAACAAAGGAGAAACACGAGCAACGCCCATGGAAACGGCCCCAAAAGATAAATAAAAAAGGTAGAGAAAACGAAAAAATATGGATGAGTTGTTGGCTGATGGGTCCACACAGATGTCCCGTTATTGTTTTCATGTTTAAAGCAAATATAAATCTCACCATCATATGAAGAGTGGTTCCGTGGACAATAGGCTTTAATAGATCGATCATCAACTTTTTCAAAATCGAGGAGGAGATCATACTTGTCATCTTCGCAAGGAGCCCCTTTAGTTCCACTTTTAAATGCAAACGCTATTTTATCGACCTTCAGCATGTTATCCCCAAAAAGGTAAAAAGTGATCGACTCATGCTGAGGCAATATGAACCTGTCCTGTGTTACCTCTTTGACAGGTACAGCAGAGTAAGAAATAAGCTGCGGCTGCTGTGAGCTAATAAAATTAATCAAAAAGAGTAGTGCCCATAGGTTTTCGCGCATAACGGGAAAGTTATTATTGGCGCTATCAAGTGGTAACAGTTCCGACATTTTACACCATTTTAATGAAGTTAACTCTGTGCGCACTATAAGCAACTCAGTAATAAGGCAACCAGAATGGGCTAGAGTTTTGCCCTAACAAGATTAACTACGTAAAGTTAGCGCAAATAAATTCTTCCCAAATTTCCTGCTCTAGCACTGCTTAGAATGAAAATGTGCGGCAGGTAAACTTCATAAATAAATAATGCCTGATATATTTAAGTCCACAGCCCGGCAGTCTTAATTTGGACGAGAAGGATCAATCAGGGCTCTGTAAGTCTAACAAATCAAAATTCGCCTTGCAATAGGATTAAAAATTGTTCTTTTATAATATATAATATAATTGTATCATATATTAAATAATTAAATTTCGAGGCAATATAGCCTATAAAATCTTGACCTTATAAGCCGCAGCGCCAAATGTGGAATGCAATCTTACTATTGGATTTCACAGTTTGTGCCGCGGAAGCCCAGATGCGAGCGCTTGTTAGTGCGCGTGCGCATTTTGGATGGATGCACAGGTATGCATAATTAAATTTTATGGAACTATTCATTGCCTTTTCTATTGTAAAGTACACTGAACAATTTCGATCACCGTTTCCTTATATCTTTTCATGGGAGATCGGACTGTTTTTCTCATTTGAATTCGATGTTATATTCGGCACTCATCGCAAACTTCAGTATTTAGGTGATTGATTGTTAACTTTGGCACACCTTAGCCTTGCCTAGGCGAAATTTTGATTGCTATTTCTACTCATGGCTCATTCATTTAGGGTTGACCTTTATTGTTGAGTTTCTATCCTTGTTCAACGCGAGATACACATTTTATTCCTGTGAAAATAAGCGACTACATGAAACTGATTATTTTTTGACATCTGACGTCATGTACATAATTATATATTTTTGCGATTAACCTAGTGATATTTGAGGCGCTTCAGCACTGTTTCATTTTAATCGTTGGTACATCACGTCATCGTACAATTTGTGTAGTCGATATTTTCGTGAATCTTTCGAGTAGTTGATATGACCTTTGTTCTTAGTCTGAAACATGTTCTTTGGTGTGATACCCATGTTCGGGTTCCGACAATGCGACAGTTCCGACTTTTCTCATCAACCGGTGAGAGCAATGAAGGCGACGGTTTTGTAAAAACGAATGAAGGTAATTCGGCCACGGTTTTCGAAGGGCAGGATGCAGATCGAATTTTGCAAAAATCTCTCCTTTCTCATTCTTTCGACTCTGAGCTCTCTAATACCCCGTCTTCTTCCCTTTCGCCTACAAAGAAGGTAGTCCTTAGCATTTTTGAACTATTTCTAATGACTTTTCAGTCAAGCATCCGATTTTCTGGTTTCGAAGTTTGGCTTAGTTTTAGGATTCTATTGCACTATGGTTCACTCTGGCACTAGCAGCCTCCATTTGAAACATTTAATGCATTCTAATTACTCACCTATTAGGCTATCGTTTTCTAGGTCGGCGATATCGAATTGCGCCAAAGTTCGGCACCCAGGCTTGTCCCATGGACCTCGAACAATTTTTTCAAGGACTACAAATTAGTTAGAACCACTTCTACTACCAAAAAAAAGAGGAGCTTTGCTGCTATGCTCCGTGAGAGTACTTTTGTACAGCTTGGCAACTTTATTCAACGTGAGGTAGGTCGTATAGCATCTGTGCGACTGCTGGATTCATTTTCACGGGGATGTAAATCTGTCTTTGGATTCCTTTATGCGTAGATACTAGGCGTAGTAATAGAGAATGCGAATGACTCTGACCTCTACGTGGACATAGGAGGAAAATTCTTGGCAGTCGTTCCACAGCCTGAGAACGCCTTCTACCCCCGTGGTAGCTTGATACGTGTACGTCTGCGCGATCCCGAGATGGCAAACCGCTTCATGGTGAATATGCGCGCCATCAGTCTTCTGGAGGCTGACGTTACTCTTCTTGGCCCCTATCGGGGGCAGCTCATCCCTTCCGCAACAGCCGCTTCCGATCATCAGATTAACAGGGAGGTGGTCTCTTTGGAACACTGGAAACTTCCGTGATATTCTCTCCTCGCTTATAGCCAGTGTTTATTGTGTAAAAGATACCTCATTCTACCACTCTATTTGGTTCTCTTTTCTATTCTTTTGTGAGCTCTGGTGCATTGCTTGCTGAAGCGCTTTGCGGAATGACTGCACTCATGAATTGTTTTAAGTCAAATTCAGCAAGTAGTTCTTCTCCGTTCGTGCTTATTTTTGATAGGTGTTGAATTTTTCCCAATAAGGAAACAAAAATAATGTAATAGGTTTTAGACATATATTCAGGTGAATTTGTGGATTTTACTTGGATGGAGGTTGAAAGGTAAAATCCGCATTGCTTTTTAGCTATGAATAAGGCTGAAACTTCCAAGGGATCAGAAAAATCTCCATCCGTTGATATCGCGCGGATCCTTCCTCCTGGCTTCGGTGACGCTGTACTACGTGCTAGTCAGTCCCTTCCCGAAGGTGTCAGCATGGAGGTTCGCGGCTATGACTTCAACAAAGGTGTAGACTATGAGGCACTTCTTGCCTCCTACGCTAGTACCGGATTTCAAGCCACTCATTTTGCACTGGCAGTTGATGTACTCAACTCTGTGGTACTTCCTTCTTCTCTTTGCTCTCATCCCTCGTCCTTAGCTTATGTTTACCAGTTTTGAGTGGATAGTTTTTTGCTATCTCAATAAATTAGCGTCATTGTCATTGAAACGGAAATTTGCTGAATTATTCATTGGGCATAGGAAAAAACCGCAAGCCCTGTATACCAACGAGCCCAATGTCAGCCGCTGTAGCTTAGATGTTTTGTTGCTGACGTTAATTTTCATTTATATCTATGAACAATTCATTTATTGCTGAAATCTCCCAATTCACGACCGTCGTACATAATCTTTTGTCGCTTATATTTAATCACCTTGTTTGACGCTATTTAATGCATCGAGTTATCAAGGGTACTTGACTTGGACGGATTCTAAGAGCATTTTCTTCTACTGTTTACGTCTTAGATCGAGAGGAGAAGCGTAGTGCCAAGCGATGAGGACGCGAAATCGAAGGAAGTGTTGGAAAGTCTGGGGTTGGGCATCGCTCGACGCTCCGGCTGTACTGTCTTTCTCGCCTACACATCTAATATGATATCTGCGGGTGTTCGTGAGGTCATTCGCTTCCTAGTTCAGCACAATCTAGTAGGTTGTTTCCTTTTTGCATTACTTGTCGAACTCGTTTGATATCCAGCGGTCATCTTTAATGCTCAAAATTTTCTCGTGAAACAATACTTAGACGGCATAATTCAATTAATTGGCCCTGGATTTTAAGACCTTAAGTCAGTTTTAATTTATGAATAATAAACTAGTAGGTAACCGCCACAAATGGTGTTTGAAACAAAAAATCAGATCAAGCCTGCATTGCAATTCATGGTAGCAAAGCTTGATATGTTTTGTTTTATAGGCTCTTCATAAAGTAGCAGCTTCATGTCGATTTCATAGGACTCTTCTCTTTTCCTGCTTAGGTTGATGTGTTGGTAACGTCGGCTGGGGGCGTGGAGGAAGATTTTGTGAAGTGTATGGCTAATTTCTACGTGGGTGATTTTTCTCGCTGGACGGGAACAGAGCTACGTAAACTGGGTATTAACAGGACAGGAAACTTGCTAGTGCCGAATAATAACTATGTGCTTCTGGAGGAGTGGCTCAACCCTATTTTTGATAAAATGCTGGAAGAGCAAAACACCAATGTATGGCATTTGACTTATTGTCCTTTTCTCACCTTTCATACTGCTTTTAATTAGAATGATTGCGTTTTACTATCACATGTGCCAAATCAGCTCCTACTACGATTGGGTGGTGGTGCATGAGTGATTCCTTGCGTGATCGACCTGAGTCTATCCTAAGATAAGTAAAGGGTATTGGTTTTTACAGAATGTGTCTCCTAGACATGAGTATGCTCTTATTTGTTAAGCAGTTAAGTGATTGTACCAAGCTTATTCAGGATGTTGCTCTCTTAACATGACTGAACTCTGCTTCTCTTGAATTTTTTTAGAATGTGAATTGGACTCCTTCAATGGTAATTGACAGATTGGGTAAAGAAATCAATAATCCAGAGTCTGTGTACTATTGGTGTCACAAGGTTCGTTACAACAACTTCGCGTGAAAAGCTGTTCTTTCGTCAGTAGTATGCCATCTCCCAGGCACATTAAAGCTTCATTTCTCATTTGCTTTCCTGACTAGTCATGCAAAATCAGTTTACATTGCATTTCATTGGTCCTCTAACGGATATGATAGTAATCCTGATATTCATAAGATCACTGCTGAATTGATGAGGCAGTTGTTTTGGCCTCCTAGAACGGAATCCCTGTGTTCTGTCCGGGCATAACAGATGGTGCGCTGGGGGACGTGTTGTTCGCCCACACCTACAAATCACCGCCGGGTTTGCGAGTGGACGTGGTGGCAGACGTGAGACGAATTAACTTGCTGGCAATCTACTCGTGCTCTACGGCTGTGGTGGTGCTCGGTGGGGGCATTGCAAAGCACCACACTCTGAACGCTAATCTCATGCGCAATGGAGCAGATTATGCGGTGTATGTAAACACAGGTCAAGAGTTCGATGGTTCTGACGCAGGTGCACGGCCCGACGAAGCTGTCTCCTGGGGGAAACTGCGCAACACTTCCGATCCTGTCAAAATTTATGGCGATGCGTCCCTTATCTTCCCCCTGCTTGTCGCCATGACCTTTGCCAAACACTTCCACCAGACCCATAGATTATAATTTTTCGGAGGTTCAACCAACCTCCGATTTTACTAAAGCCATACTTTCAGACACTTGTTTCGGATTTTAATAGGTTTCTACTGCTTCTGAAGCAAATTTTTGAATAATTAACTATTGCTAATATTTCATACAATAATAAGAAGGACTAATAATAATGCTACCGAAAAGGTAACTTAATCGAACTAAGAGCATAACCAACATTGTAACTGTTCCCTCTGCATTCTATCGAGAAGACACATGCTTATTAGTCAATCAGAAGTTGGCATGTCCGAATTGACGCTGTAAGTACTATCAGGTGATTATTGATGCTGAGTGTGTTAATTCGAATATGAGAACTTGAAGCTTCCCCTTATATGTCTAAGGTGATTGAACTCTAAGTTTCATGAGAATAATCAAGAGCGGATGGAGGAGTGCCGATTACTTCGATGAGATCACAAAAGCTGGCATAAATGCCTTGTGCACAAAGCTTGCCTTTTGCACGGCGTCGTTTTATTTTAGCTAGTTTGCTTTTTGTTCCATCCCATGTTTAAACTATGGTGAATTATAGCAATTATGTCAATCGATAACTTTTCGCAGACTTCCAATTTTTAAATTACTTGGCGATCGATTAAAGTAAACACACACTTGAAGGTGCTGACACTCGCACACACAACGATGTCAGGCGGAGGCGTGCATCTGGGTATGGGGATCAGTGACGCCACGGGTCTGGTGAGTAAGACTGCTTCAATATCGGTCCATGTGAAAGGGTGCGTCGGAGATTTACGTGTCCCTTTGTCGGATGAGAAAAGGTATTCAAGGAAACAGCCCTTAATGGTAGTTCCTGATAACGCTTGGAAGCATGAATGCACCGATGTTTCTGACAGTGGTGGTTTCTCTCGTGATATGGTTACACCGTCCGGTGGTAATATTAATAACGATGGTCAATTTTCTGGCAGTGGAAATATCGAACAGAAAAAAAATTTTGAATTGATGGGAAGAATTTCAGCCAGGAGTACAACTGTTACAGATCCACCGACTTCTGTTCACAATATTTCACCTGCCGAAAGAACGCCTGGGAATCAGAAAACTGTATATTCCACTCGATTTAGATTGCCATTAACCTCAACAAAAGATATGACAAATAACAACTCCACTAAGAAATTTAATTCGAACACCCGTCCGTTTCTCTATCTTCATCCTCAAACTCGCACTAAATCAAAGGCACCAGACAAAGGCATTCTTGATAAAGTTGTTCGTTATTGCCACTTTAAGCAGACACACGATCGACAGTCCCACAAACATTATTGCACCGATGTTCCTAGATCAAAAGCTAAAAGAAGCAAACTGATAAAGCATCATGGGACAACTTTGTCTACTCTTGAAGAGGAGGGTAAACCCACTTCTATTTTACCTACACAGGAAAGCCACGATGCAAAGAATACATTGAATACCTGTCAAGACAAAAGTGAAGACGATGACCAGTTAATGGCGCAGTTATCAGCACAAGTTGAGCACATTCACCTTTCTTCGGAAAGCGTTAGCACACCTGAACTAAGCACAATCCCCGTCGAACCCCAGCCTACCCATCACATTACCTCATCGCAGCCAGGTGTGCAACACTTGCGAGAAAAAGATGATCCTCCTTCACAATCCCCAATTGATGAGGTGAATACACTAACGTCAATACCAGATGTGTCAACTGCGTATAGACCTATGAAGTGTGAAGGTGATATAAGGACTGATGTTATCTTGGTCGATGGTGCCAAAAATGAGGCTAACTCTGGATTTAGAAGTCAGAATTTCATGCACTTCACAACAACAGTTAGTCAGCCCATTCGAAAGCTCATTCAAGTCGCTCCCAGCGTTGCTCCGAGAAACACGGCGCTGCAATTAACCCCATACAGTCAAACCACTCGATGCATCCCCATCAGGAGCCAACTTCGAACGCGACATCCGCGTAGACCCTACCAATTCGCACCTAATATTAGCGTGATAACGGCTGGTAAAAAAGCACTGTTCATTAGGAAGCAGTTCATTAAAAAAAGCTTTTTCCTACCTGAAAGCGCAAATCTTGAGGACATTCTGGCCGATGCAGATGATAGGAGGATAGTAGCAATATGTAACAGGTTTCACTGCGAAATGGTGGCCTTCTCTAAGGTCCCGAGGAAGGGATCCATGAAGCACGAAGTGATAATTTCTGGTGGTTGCAGAGACGATATTGCAAAGTGTGCTCGATGCCTTGATGCGCGACTGAATTGGTGCATCTCACCCCAATTGGATTAACCTCCACAAAATGCAGCCAACTCAGCGCCCGTAATCCTCACAGTGTCTTGATCAACGTCAATTTGTCTTGGAACTCAAACTCAATTCAATTACCTCCCAAAAGCTGGCGCTTTATATTTTGCTTAGGTGGGACATGACGGAATTTCAACAGACAAAAACGCAATTTTCGAATTAAGCCTTATGCGTATTGGACTGCACAACATACTAGGACCTTCGATAGTATAGACCACCAAAGAGCACAACTGGTAGAGTTGAGTAAACGTTATACTTGTTGCTATAATTATTATCAAATAGAGCAGCTACCGCCTACTTATGCGAGATTAGCAGAGTTGGAAGAAACCAATGTTATATTGAAGGCATATGTATTTACATGACCTGTGGTAGTTTCAACATTTCAATTTAGCTATGATCTGTGGTAGAGCATTCAAGGAGCTTGGAAAGGCAGAGTCGTTGGCAGACAAAGACTAGATGACCACGCAAGACCTCCACAACAGCGTTATCTTCCGCGTCCGCTACACCCACTCCCGCGCGTCGACACAAGCAACAACGAACAAACGCCTCACGTAGACCTTCGCCACCTTCCTCAATGTCATGCAGCCAGTAGAGCAGTCCATCCAAGTCTCCAGATGGCTTATTCCCACAATCGATACCCTAGAAGATAATAACGTGGTAATTTCCCAGCCGTATTAATCGTTAACAAGTCGTGACTATGGAAAACAGTGCAATCAAGGGATACAAGATGATGTATTCTGATCTTAATGCACGCCTATTTATAAATCACTACTTATCAGCGCGGTTGAAAAAGAAGCTTCATATAGATCGTTTCGACAATGCAGGTACCTGAATGTACTCACGGACACGCTGAATCAAGTCACCAAAGAGGACTGACAAGTCCCTCCAGAGACCATCCAAAGAGAGATCGTCTGAAATGAAATTCCGACTTACACATCCAAACGCTATTTGGAATAGGCATGGGAGGATGTCATTGTCTGCAAAAGATAAAGCTTTATCAATGCTTATGTCAGAGTGGGTGTATTTCAAGGAGTCGAGACCAATTTCACTCAGCTGTTCAGAGCGTTCTCACAGACGGCTAAATACCAAACAACGATTCTAAGAAGGAATAGACTAAATTCAAAGTAGTGTAAGGAATAATATCGTAAACAGCCGAATAGAAATTCAAAAGTGCAAAATTTTATGACAGTAAACAAGACATGATAGAATTACGAACATGAACACCACAAGACCCCGAATTAAAGCAATAGCCCAAAGTTTAAGCGAAACACGATCTCATAAATACAGCCGAACCCCGTCCTCACCATACGAAAAGGTTTTCAGTGCGTAATACGACGGAAGATTCATTAGAATCACATCGATAACGGGTAGAATCAGTCTCAAAGAGGCAATGTATTTTTCAAAAGGTATTAAATGTGGTTCATCTTCACATATTTTTCGCATTAGGACGCCGAAGCTCGGATAGATATCTTGATACTTGGACACTAAAATGGGAGTTTGGATGGAATGGTAATTCGAATACTTAAAATACATGATTAATTACGATGAGAATACACGAAGGCAGTGTTTCTGCACCACCAAAGTTAAACGATATAACAAAAAACATAACTGAATTGTGAGGCAGAAAATACGATTAAAAACTTAACAGTGACAGGGAACCGACGTACTGAGAGTTCGAACCCCAGTAGGGTTCGTAGAAAAAAGGTATAGAAGACGGTAAATGACCTCCGCGTCGTCTCCATGGATCCAGCTATTGAATAGGAGAAAGTGAGACAACCCACCACATTTGCTTTTGGGCTTCTTGCAGCGAACCCAGCAAGTCTTCGTTGCACCAAAGTTCGCACAAACTGTCATCAATTCGAAGGATTGTTTCTATGGCACTAATAGTGCTCATCAGAAGAGTTGCTGAATTCAAATGTGTGAACGATGTAAAAGGAATACAAACCATTTGTTGAACTGCATAAGATGAAGTTGACTCGATCGATGAATTCTAGTGCAAAATGAATGGCATCTAACCAAACTTGCCGATGTAATCGTGAAGCAAGAACGGAGCGCAAAAGCCTAACGATTCGTAAAAAAGTTAATAAAGTAAGGACCGCCAGTTGTACCTGAATAATTCAATGAGTATTTGAGTGTCATCAGTCGCAAGGAGGTTCAAAGCATCCACCCTGTTTCAGTTATACTTGTGTATAAAACCTACATAAAAGCTTGTTCTTCTGACAATAAGCCACATTGTTCTTCGTCCAAAGACAAATTTGCGAGAACACCGAGGGAAATTTCCTAGGGCGCAAAGCAACACTATGCTTACAAGGTTTCGATTAAAATCCAACGCGAAACTGTCATTAGAGAAAAAAAATAAGTAGTGCAAAATGTCTAAAAATATGGCAACCCGATAGTGGACGAAAAAAAACAAATGAATAACCGGAAATCCACTTACTATAAGACGTGGACAGTGGCTTTTATGAATACACTCTGTGAAGACAGGGACAAGTTGGAAAGGACGCAAATGTGTTAACAATGCTTGATCAGTGGTAATGTCCCAAAGACAACAAAGCTCCTCTTCTAGAGAAGACTCCAACTCCTCTTCATGTTCATTTATTCCCTCTTCACATTTGTTAATTTTAGTAAGAACTTGTAAAATAAGCGAATAAAGCCACCTTTTGCTGTAGGCGCTGTTACCAATTTGATCGTTCTGTTCAAGAGGAGGATCAATACCAGGAGGAGGCGATGGATTTCTCGTGTCCATCTATATGAAATGAAGAAGAAGAGAGCTATAAAAGGGACAGAAAATAGTGCTGGCATTTGTAGCAGGAAAATGAGGAAACAATTGGCGAAAACCAGTAAGAATTTTTCACTGGGAGACGATCAGAGTTATCTCAAAGTGAGCCTCGAGAAGAGATTCAACATTTACAAAGATCCAAAGATGAAAACAAAATGCTAGACTGCCGTAGTGAGCTCGATGCAAAGTAGCAAGCAGCAATTACGATAACTACATCCGAAGTTGTAATTATTTGTTCAAGTACAATAAGTAACTATAAGTTAATCATACTGGCTTCACTAAACGACTTGTGCTAGGCACTTGTTTACACACCAAATTCAACAACCACAACGACTACGCAGTTGGACTTGCAGATCGTAATGCGCAAGAACAATCCTAGTAATCAAAACAAAATCGATTTAACCAAGGTGTTTTACAATGAGTTACATTTAATTTAAAATAAGCAAAGGGCACGGATAGAAACTTTTAATGGTAAGTTACGATTAACTCGTTTCGTCAATACGATGTCAATGCTTTAAATCTAGAATGAGAGCGTTACATATCAATACTTAATTTTAAGTAAGAATTAGTCCTGTGCAGAAGCAATATGGACTCCATAGAAGGTAGCAAACATTGAGGCAGTCAATTGAGCAACTCCTCTTCCCATGAGGCTACAATCGATACCTTACATATGACGACGGTTATGTTGGACTTCTCTGCAAGAAGTTTCATGTTTTAGTTTTACGCATTATTCAAAATAGGTACAACGTAGACGAACTCATCGGATGAATTTGAGCAATTAAAAACTACTGTCTGACTCGAATTCACAATTGCCTTATACTTTCGAACTCAAAATATTCCACAAAAGCTTCGAATTTCGATTGACTATAAGTGCATACATACCATACGCGTCAAAATCGTTTAGTCAACATTCTAAGGCTAAATACAAGGCAGATGTAGCATCCCAAGGCCTCCCTTAGGGAGTAAGAAGGCATTATGTGGAGCCGAATTAATATATATTCAGAAAAAATAATAGGACTAAGCATGAGCGCGACCCGAAGGCCAGCCCACTAGTACGAGGTTTGGACAAACAAAGCATTACAATGTCCTCTTCTTTCGGACGACGTCTTCTGCGGTCACCTTGGTACACCTCCTGCGCCAGCAATCACAACATATTCGGTACCACATGAAAGCACCCACGAGCCAACCGCGCCAGTCACCAGCTCCCATGCGACTGAGGAACCGTTCCTGGTCTCCTCAACAGCTCCAAATGGGTCTGGAGTTACGTCCAGTCTGACAACCAAGTTCGGGACCGCACACATCTGCTGACCATCAATTGCTTCGAGGACTAGATGGTAGAACTCCGGTCTACAACAGATGTGTTACAAGGAAAACAGGATAAGCCACTGTCCCGTATAGAAGGAGGACGGTAGTGTCATTTCCAACACCTATATACGGGTTTCTAGGAGAAATCCCGACACAATACCTATCCCCATGGTTCCAGTTGTTAGTAGTGTATCTGTGGAACACGAGCATAGGGGGAAGCCAAATGCAGACGCCAGTGTCAACCCCTTCGTTGTGAGGGGTTCAGAGATCCTCCGTCAGCGATGCAAATGCGCCTCCTCAACACCGTAGGTACATGCAGTAAACTCTACTGCTAGGATAAAAGTCACTGGATAAATGTTGGGTTCGCTTTCCACTGCCACCAGTGTAGCGTCCCGAGACTTC